TATGTGTACATATAGTCTTGTCCTGATATACTTTAAAAGGAAAGATAAAATTCCAAATGTAAACATCGCAAAAACTATAGAGGAATAGAAGTTTAAATAAAGACATGCATAGAAATTGTTGGTGAGTCCATGAGTGACATGATTAGTTCAGGTGTGAATATTATGGAGGTAGGAGATTTACTTCAGGTGTGAATGAACATGTTTATATTTCTCTGTTTGATGAAAGGAGGTGTAAAATATAATAAAGTTAACACCAGGAGAATACGGGTTTAATAAACATAAACTCTAATTATGGAAAGTGAAAATTTCACTGAAATATGTTGGAAAATTTTCAAGTTTTCATCTGAAATCAAGAAAATATGAAATTTAAATAAAATGCTACAATGCACTAAAAAAAAAGAATGATTTAGTTTAAACTGATATCAGGAAGATTTTTTATATTATTTTTACAATGATGTTCACTTGTACAAGTCCCACTCGAAGGAACAGTTCATGAGGATATGTGGGGAAGATAACAGTTAATCATAGACTTGAACAGGTTAAAATTGTAGTGATTGGGGAAGAATCCTCTTGGGAGTTCTACAAAGAAGCTGTTCATAGGAAAAAGCTGCTCAAGTGAAACTTCTGACCAATGAAATATGAAGGGAATGTGGCTGGTTTACTACATGGCAGGTCTTAGCCCTGATGGAACTAAAGAATGGCAGATCTTAGCCCTGGTGGAACTAAGGAATGTAATTTGTCTGAACACTTTCTATGGAAATAGTGATAAAGCAGTGTGAGGCTTGCAACATGTGTTTAGATCTTTAATCAGTGATGCATAAGTTTCCATGTGATGAAATGATGCAGATATACATATGTTCTTCTTTTGAAAATGATGGATGTGACCTGCCAGTAACACTTTAGTATTGGGAAAAGTCTCAAATGAACATTCCTACACCTACAGATCAGGTTCTGGATGGCTATAAAATACACGTCTCCAAGATTGACACATCTTCAGAGCAGCAATAATAGATTGCATCACATCCACAGCAAATATCAGAGCTAATGTGGTCATGGGCGTGTCATGAAGAGGGAATGTTCATACAACAGATTAAATGATCTGAAACAAAATAATATTCAAAATTGTTTAAAACAAAATTAAGAGAGTTTCTTGCCCACTGAAGGGATATATAGTTTGCATACATTCAAATGTAGACAAAGAGAGAAAGTTTGAAATACTTTGCTTCCTTGGATTGTTGAGATAAAATTCATTGAAGAATTTGCATGGTTAAAGTGCTGATAATATAGGCCGCAATTAATTTTTCCCTGGTGAAAACTTCGATGATGTACATGGTAAACAGAAACAAAACGTTTCATTTGACTTCAGACACTCTTCTCTATTTAATTTTTCTCCTCATTTTATATCAAAAATGATTTCACATATACTCTCTATTTACTTTACTTTCTTCTTGGCCCAATGGCTAATTTTTGTGAAGGCAAGGTTTTCATTTGTCCAAAGGCAATTTCATATAAGCTTGCAAATTTATTTCCATCTTTTTCTCAGCTTGCCAGTCAATCTCTGTGAAGGCAGTTTTTATTAGTCCAAAGAAAATTTCACATAGGCTCACACATTTTCTCTCAGTCCTCCAAATTTGAAAAAAGTAAAGGAAGTTATTATTATTATTATTATTATTATTTCACTCTCATGAACTGATACAAAGTGAAAATTAAGTATGAAAGTAAGAAATGTTTTTGCTTAAATTCCCTGAATCTAGGAGTTCCTTGGATACATCACAAACAAAACTGTAATTTTTTTGTTAAGGATTCAAAAAATTTTATTATAATATTTTCTCATTTAAACCCAAATTCTTTTCTTTAGATTTACAGTAACATAAACAATGTAGCTTTTTTCATTGATGCTGAAAAATTTCACATGATAGAATTAATCAAATACCAAAATGGTACGTGCTGCCTGAAGTTGGAATCAAAATCAGAAAGCTCTCCAGACAAGGATTCTGAAGGCATTAGTTTTAGTTTGCATGAGTCTACTATAAATTGTTATAAATTTTTGCCACATCGATTTCTTTGAGTCTGCAAAGTCTTGATTTCTTTCTTTCTTCATGACTGTTTGAGTTCAGAAAATTAAAGGAAATCTTTCCAATTGCTGAAGAATTGGATGCAAATAAAGAAATGATCATAGAGCAGAAAATATATTGTTTGCATCTATATTCTTGATTTTTTTTTTTTTTGATAATCAGAATATGCAAAATCAATGCAGACATTAATAACACTGTATCGTTAGTCATGCATATGGACCCTTTAGATGGTCTGTTGTTAGAAAAGGCAGGGATTTTAGTAGAACAGAGACCCACCCAAGAAGGGAATGATTAATAGCTATGAGCAGGAATCATTATGCCAGAGAAAGACAATGGAATTGGCTAAAGTCTGCCACAGAATGGATGTAAAAGAAGGAATACATTAATCTTGAAAAGAGAACAGGCTAGCTTTTGATTTCGATTTTGATGGATAAATAATGTAAAGAAAAAAGAACAAAGAAAATGTCACTGACTGGTCCGTAATCACTTGATGTTTCCATGGCTGGAACCATATTCCAAGAACTTGTAACTTTAAAGTGTTTTATTATATATATTTGCCTTTAGAACTCTAAGAGCTTATAATCATGGAAATGATACAGAATTATGTCCTTTCCTCCAACATTAGTTCATTTGATGTATTAGATTCTGATTCAGGCTTTAAGAAACAAATAAAAAAACTCAGCTAATAGAGGAATTGATCGTCAATCAGGTATTTCATAAAATGTTTCTAAAAATCTAGTAACAATCAAATAAAAGCACAATCATATCATATAAGCATGAGAATTTATCAGTTTTCAAGCTGCAAAGAAGTTTTAATGTTTCATCTTATTGTTTTCTAAAAACAATCATTTCATGTAAAACAACTTATTATCAAACAGATAACCATGGTAGCTCAAAATTAATGTTTCATGTTGATGAACTTTAATAAGCATTATTGTGTTTACTTACTTTTATCTAAAAAATGAACTTTTTATTTAAGCTTTGAATCCATTAATTGCTTGAAACTTTGGATGAATGCATCATTTCTCTTTGAATTTAGGCTGCCACAAATCGTACGAATGATGCATTAAAAAATCGAATGTATGTCAAACATGATTAACCAATGAAAATGAAACAATAACAAAACAAAAATACCAGAAATTTGTTTCTTCTTTTTCTTCATGTCTTTCTCTGATGAAGCTTTAATAAAAGTGAAACATGTTAGATTGATAAACATTTCCTCTTTATCTTATCATTCTGATCCATATTGGATCACAGCTCATATATGGTAATATTATCCATTTCATATATATATATATATATATATATATATATATATATATATATATATAGCTTTCGTTTTTTTTATATGTATATATATATATATATATATATATATATATATATATATGTATGTATCTTTCATTTTAATTATATATTTATCAATTTCCTATATATATATATATATATATATATATATATATATTTTATGTTTAACATTGCTATTTATAGATACAAGTATTTAAGCAAATGCTCTGTTTATGATAAACAGTATTAAATAACATTTACCGGCCTGAATGTCTGAGAAATTTTCATAGAAAATATTCGTTCTTTGACAGGATTCGAACCTGCATCCCCACAAAGAAATACGGAACCGTCATATACGCTGACGGTGCCTTAAGGATGCAGGTTCTCGGCCACAAAGAAAGAACCTTACAGTAGACAAGGTCGAATTTACTGTTTATATAAATAACAACGTTAAACATAAAAAATGTCTTTAATAAATAAATTGTCGGACCTTGTCCATTTCTTAACATATAGCTTTCATTTTTTTATTATATGTATGTATATATATATATATATATATATATATATATCTTTCGTTTTTATTACATATATATATAATATATATATATATGTATGTATCTTTCATTTTAATTATATATTTATCAATTTCCTATATATATATATATATATATATATATATATATATATATATATATATATCTTTCATTTTTATTATATCTATCTATATATATATATATCTTTCATTTTTATTATATATATATATATATGTATGTATCTTTCATTTTAATCATATATTTATACATTTCATATATATATATATATATATATATTCATAAATGTTTCATTAAATAATATAGACAAGTGTTGTCTATTTTATGTAAATTCTTTTCATAACATCTAAGCTTAATAATATGAAAAGAATTTACATAAAATAAATAGACAACACTTGTCTATATTATTTAATGAAACATGTATGAATGAAAAAATACTGCCTAAATACACACAATATAATTATATATATATATATATATATATATAACTGTATATGTAGGCAGCAATCTTTCTTTCAAACTTCTTTCATTAAATACAGCCGACAAGGAAGAATTAATGAATTTTTATTAAATTTCATAAGAGTAAGGGAGTAAAAAAAATTTCCATAATTTTTAATGCCCTAAGTGCTTTTAGTCACTTCTATAGGCATTTTTTAAGGGTATTTTGTCTCTAGTGTTGTTATTTTTCCTTATGTTTTGACATTATGTAACAGGGGAACTGTAATGTTAAAAGTTTTTTATGAATAGAATGATACTCTTGTGCAGGTTGATGGCCTATAATCTTGACTGAAGTCTAAAAAGAAATATAACTCCCCTTCAACCTCTTCTGATCTCGGGCTTGACAACAACGTCCAATACCTGTGCAGAAGCCAGGAACTATTTTTAGACTGTAAAAATTTCATGGAGATAATACTGATTTACTGATACAAGTCCTACTAATTAACCCATAGCTGGAGGGAGAAGAGGTGGATTCATATCTTTCCCTAGGGTATTTGTGCATGGGAATATAATTCTGACTAGAATTGAAACTCAGCTCTCTGATTTCCAATTCCAAGCCATTACACATTACACCAGTTGCACATCTAAGCTTACAGCACCTGGTATTCCCAGGTGATCACCCATCCAGGTACTGACCAGGCTCGATATTGCTTAACTTTGGTGATCATACAACAACCAGTGTTTAATCCTGATATGGCTGTAAGCCTTTTGATTTCTTACAACCTTTCTTTAACTTGATCCCATATGATTTGTCTCTGCCAGTGGCATCCAGCTTGTTCCTGACCTTGAACACTAAAGATTTAGTCACTTCCAAGAAGCTGGCTTTCTTTGAGACTGTGGTTTGGTGTTATTGCCATGAGGATGGAGTACCTTTTCATTTCCTGGCTCAGATTGCAATATTAATGCTCTCAGTACATCTGAAACAAAAATCAGGAATTTTAAATTTGGTGCATTCTATGCAATATTATATATTCTCGTATATATTTGTTATAGTGGAACACATCTATTCTATAGTTAATAGACTCTCCCACCTATGATAAGTAGGAGTAGTAAGAGTAACGAGTGAAGTTGCTCAGGGAGTTGGTCAGTCAGTCGATACCGGACGACAGTTAGTCAGATGTTAAAGTATCAGCCACCACAACTAGATTACTGCATTATACCTATTATATCAAGTTCCTAATGTTTTGTATTATCAAACCTATTTTAGGACCGACTTAGTACAAATACAAGATTCCACTGTGAAACTACTCCATAACATAAAGTCTAAGTACCATAGAGTATAGGTCATCAGAACAATTTCCATAAAAGTATTTATAGAAATGTTACAGGGAGGTTATATTACTTTTATAATCTAGGAAAGGTTACTGAATAGAATAATCACACAAAGGTTGGTAATGAACGATAATACTTAGGACAAGAACAACACAAGTTTTGCCAGTGTCATGTAAAAGTAGTCAACTGTTAGAAGTGAGCCATGTGAATTCCACAGTGAATCTCCAACAGTCAACCAACATACAGTATTCACTACTGTATTTATGGGAATGGGGACATTATCGTCCATGGGTATGCTATAACAGTTACAGTGGTGGGAAAGTGACTGAGGCCAAGATGCCAGGTCAGGATCAATAACATTACAGATTCTTTTTTGGATTTTATAAAGAATCTCTAAATATATAACAGGAGCACCAGATCAGGAAAAATGGTAGACTTATAAATATATAAGATAGATTCTAGAGTGGAAAAATTGTCTAGCACAACACTGTGAGCCAACTTTCCTAGCATGATACCTAGCATTTGATTCAATATAATCTATCCACTTCATGTCAGCAGAAAGCATTAGACCGAGAAGGCACAATGAGTTACTGTCCTGGAAGTTAACATCAGCCATGCTAATAGAACGTAAAAAGGGTTCTCGCAGATGATTAATAGTGAAAGGTTTTTGTTTTGAAGGTGCTAAAATAAACAAGTCGTTTCTTGCCTCAGTTAAAAGATTGTAGGTTATTTTGTAAATCAACTGCCAATTTGACCTTATCAAACTAATCAGTCTTACTAATAAGACCAGAGTAAATAGTTGTATCATCAGCACAGATACCAAGTTGAACACTGATTAAAATTTGGACTAATGTAGGTCCAAGGATAGAGTCCTGTAAAAAGATCCAGTATAGTGGCCATTCAGGATAACTTTAATTTTTGGCAATTTGATAAGAAAGACTGAATCAGTTCAAACATTAATTCAGAAATACCATAACCTTTAACTTGTGAAGAAGACCAGCATGCCAAAATGGTTTAAGAAATAACAAAACAAGTGTTACAGATATATCATATATTAAACAGTAAATATAACAGAAGAGTATTACATGACTAGTGAGTGCAGGTCAGTTGACCAGCATTCAATCTATTTGACTGTTCCCCCAAGGCCTCCTCTCCTACTAATCTTATAGTAGGCAGAAGAGTCCAACATAGACACTTTAGAGGGAGGACACCACAACACAAACCCTGTTAAATGCCTTTGAGATATCCAAAATAACAGCCTCAGCTTCACCAATCTTAACTAAAGCTTGATAGACTCTTTCAACAATAATTGTTAGTACATCAGCAGTTGATCTAGAGAAGTGAAAGTCACATTGCTTATCCAAGACAAGACCCTGTGAGTTGAAATTTTTAAACAATTACAGCCTTTAGCACATTGCCAAAAAGTGGTAGATGGCTAATAGGCTGATAGAAGGATCAAATGGTTCATGCGAGTTCATAAGGACTGGAACTACAGAAGAGGATTTCCAACAAACAAGAAAGCAAGAAGCAATAAGTCATTTATTGGAGAGTTTAGAGAGAACATGAGCCAGTTCAGGGGTGCATTTGTTAAAAACTATTGCAAGGATACCATCAAGTCCACATACTTTCTGGAGATCCAATTTAGAGATGATAGCAGAAAATATGGATGGAGTAATATGCATATCACTCAATAGAGATTCAATTCTAAGTGAAAAGTCATGCAAAAGTACTCCAGGTAAGTCAAGAGTAGAATTTGAAGAGAATGTATGAACAGAAGATGTTAACACCACAAATTGAGTGAAGAAAGAAGGAATAGAAGACTTACTCTTATTTAACAAACTATTACAGAACTGCATTACAGTCATGTGAACCAAATTTGTTAGAAGCTATACTGTGCCTTGTTCTATCAGAAAACAAAGACTTACCATCTTTGAAGACACATTTACAATTATTTTGAGCAAACAGAAATAGATATCTACTGTCATCAAAACTATCATGCTTATACACCTGAAAAAAGTGATACCTGACGTTACTTTCAAATAAATGAATCAAAAGAAATATCAACAGACACTACAGTGTGATGCAAATTGTCAAGAGGACAGTGTTGTGATGCTCAACAAGAGCCAAGAGAAGATCTAAGTAACAAGTGGTAGGAGAAGAGAAAAGGAACAAATCAGGTAAAGAAGTATGTTGATCCAATCTATTAGGGAAACAAAAAGGAAAATCCCCTATTTTACTGAGAGACTGAGCAACAGAACAATTGAAAGGCTGAATACTGGTAACTTCAGTAGCATGAGAATGCTTAAGCCATTTAACATGATGATCATTAAAATCAACAAACACAAAACTGTTTGCTGATTTTTTTCCTCGAGTTGAATTCAGTCATAGAAAAGAACAATTCTGCATTCAAACTCCTACTGTCAATAGTTTCGAGTTTGTCATCTTTGGCTAACAGTCAACCTAAGAGAATGAATACAGCATACAGAGATCTGACTTGAATGTTAACACATCCTCCAGAGAACTAAACCTATACTATGGGAGGAAAGGACAAAATAATAAATGACTTGACCCAGGTGTGAATCTGGCCAGTAGTTTTTTTATTTTTATTTTGTCTTTTTGGCAAGGTGGACAATAATGAGATTTACAAAATGATGATAAAGTAGTATCATCTTGCATATATTTTTCTGCTTAAAACTTCCTGATTGTAGATCATACCACTCATAAACACTTGCACCAAAAATAAATTAAAATATTATCTTGACTCAATAATCAATTTTAAAGACATATATAATTTTACTGGCTATAATACTGTTATATTCCATATTTAGTTACGTGGGCGATGTGAAAACAATATGGGTGAAATACTGCGTTTGGTTGCAAACAATGAAATTCAGAATCGAAAGAACAAGAAAGACTGTAGATATATTTTATAGTCTTTTTAGTGAGGAAAATAAGAACAAGTAAAAGGTTCGTATTTAAGAAGTTGAATGTCTATGGTAGTGGCAAGTAAAGTTCGTGGAGTTAACTTGACTTATGGAAGGGGAAAGGTACCCTTTGACAAAGTGTTGGACGAGAGTTCATTAGCAGCAGCAGTCACATGCTTCATTCGTCACCGGGACAGTGTGTCAGGAGCGAGCGACGTGACCCTTCTGCCTCCGCCGTTGAATGGGACTCTCTTTTGACTTTCCCATGTTGAACTTGTACACGCCTATCGGCTCGAAATGGCAATTTTTTTTAATACACGGGAGATGGTCCGATTGGTTGATTTAATTCTTTTCATTTTTTTTGAGTTTATCCCAAACGGAAGTATCTGTGTCGAGCCTATGCGTAGACGTGCAGTTTTCATTTCAAGTCGGGGACTCGTGATGGTAACTTCCATTTATCGAAGCAGGGCAAGATCTCATCTTGTAACAATACTAATCCAGAACATTAATTCACCACTACTTCTAAAGTCTGCAAGTTTATTATTTACTTTAAATGCTCAACTGTTGACTATCCATTAGGTCCATCCAATGTAGCTCTACATTCATCACTGAAAATAACAGTTGAGAAATCTATTTTTATTTATGTCTTTATCTAAATTTCATGTTCTCCTTTGTGATGTTTACTTAAATACTGTAGTTTTGTTGCTTTCAGTTCATAACATTCTGCAATTTTTCTTTCTGTTTCCATTTATAAATCAAATTTTTCAAATATTCTCTTCCTGATCAATTATTCTTGCTAATTATCTTTTCTTCTCAGATTTCATTTTATGACTAGTGATATGTAGATTAAACAATTAACATAGCCAGAATACCAAGGCTATATAACTATTCCGATTAAGAGGAGGAAGACTACTACACAACAGCATTGAGTACTTCACAACAATAGCATTTAGAATGTCAGAAAAAAGTAATGGGTACTTATCTTCCAGCAGTTTCTGGCAGAGAGAGGTGTGGATGGAGAAACACCTACCTTGCATGGATTATTTTTATTTACATGTTATTTTGCTTAAATGGTCACTTATCACATTTTGCTGATGTTAAAATAGGGTCAGTTTTTGCTGTAGAGGAATTTTTTCTTTCTTCTTACCTATGTCAGAGGTTGTTTGCAACTATGAATCTACATTTGATCTAACTTATATGCCTATCATAGATCCACTTCTATCTATCCTTTAATTATTTGACTATCAGACCATAGTACTGATATTTCCAAACCAAGATTGCAGCACTGGCAATCTGTTACAAAACAATTCCTACAAAATCCAGATATAAGAGGTAAGGTGTTTTTCTTCTCTCTCTGTCAGTTGCCATTGTTTGGAATGGGAGTAACTTTTTCTTTTATTTTTCTTCTTTTACCCACCCCCCTCATGGTATTACTTTCCAAGGGAATGTACTACAAGAAAAAGGGTTTTTTTTTGTTTATGTCTTGTTAATGCTTCCAATTTTGATT